CATTTTCTGATCATAAATCGTTAAACAGAGAATCCTCAGTTTTCTTTTATTTCCAATGCTGGGTTTAAAATTAAATTGGAAAAAAATGCAGTCCATGTTTCCGTGGTACTTACAACGTTTAATGTAGAGGGAATAATTGATATTTTATGGTCGTAATTATAATCCTGCAGATTTTAGTTGTAAGGGAAATTTTATGTGATTGGGGGGTTCTAACTGATTTGAACAACTTGATATACTTGAAAAATTGTGATTTTTTTCCATTCGTTTTTTTTTTGTCCCCAGTATCAAGACTTAAGACGTTTTTGACGAATACATGTTATAATAGGTTTGAGTATCAAAACTAAAATCAATCGTTGACGTATTTGAAGATAACGAATAGTGATCGATCCAAGTTTAAAAACTCATATTGTGAACAGAGCAAACAAACAAAAATAATAACAAACACAGACCACTAGAAACTTCTCATAGGTGGGATCAGCTGCCAAAGAGGAGTATAAGCATCAACTGTTGAGCGGTCATACCAGATGTGAGCCCTTTGTATGGATCAGGTAAACGGAGTAATACTGTAACCTGTATGAAAAATGTCAACGATAGTTGACCCAGTGATAGTTGTATTTGCGAACAAGGTCATTTTAAAGACCATAGAATTTGTGAAATGCTGACTGTAAACGAGATTGTTGAAAGCCCTCTAACATCAACTTATTTGTTAGTAGCCAATTTAGGTTTAAAATTTTAGCGTACTCTGAGCATGCTCTTGCGTACCGTATTATCTGGGAGACATACACACCATATACAGGTGATAGTTGAATGTTTTCAGAAATAAGGGAAGCTGACGATGGAAGAGCTGAAGTTTGTCATATAGCTTAGTTGTCTTTAGTCAGTAAAACATCCAAATATGAAATAGATGTGGTAGACTCTGTGGAGTATCAATTTAGCTTACCACTTCTAATTGTGGAGGTCTCAACTTATTGAACCATCATTTTATTTTCTTTAGATCTCTCTATTTTTATTTTTCATTTGCACTTTTGAAAATTTAAAATCTGTGCTTTTTTAATTACCTTAAATGAAGACTTAAATGAAACAGTCTTTTGTTGCCATTCTTGATGGAATCCTGGACAAAGTTATCGGGATTATAATTAGTGTGTAGTGAATGATGCAAACGCATCACTGCAAGTCCAGCTAATCTATCTTCATGCACACTATTGCGCATATAGTTTTAATCTCCTTAATCTAGAGACGGATTTCTTTGCTTTATATGCAGTGACTGATAAAATGCATCAAGTGTGAAGCGATGTTTTTTTTTTCCGAAACATTTCTTCGTCAACAAGATTGTTTTGTAGATGGCTATCCAGTCACTGTGAACGTCAGACTACCCTTCCAATATCCTACCTGGTGTAATTTTCCAATCTTGAATTTCATTTTCAAAATCCCTTGAAGAAATTCAAACAAATTTCATGTCCAAAAACACTAGAAAAGATGCATATTTGGATATCTCATGGGGGGGGGGGGGGGGGGAGGTAGGTTCCAACTTCTTTCAGTACCAAATTTTATTCATACACTAGTACAAAACCCTTATTTTACTATTCTACAACAAAAAAAAGGGGGGGGGGGGCAACCGGCCTTTCAATTAACATTTCAAATAGTAAAAAAAGTCTTTGGAAAAAGGGGGGACCAGGCCCCCTCCCCCTGTTGCTACGTGCCTGCCATGTCACAGTAGGAGTTTCTCCTTATAAAGAACGATAAAGCACGATAAAGAATCCTCACTGCTTAATGGCCCTGAGTGCCTAGTAAAGGTCTGAATTTTGAGCCTTTCACCGGTATATGGTGACTTCTCATATGAGTGAAAAATGTTCAAAAGGGATGTAAAACAACAAACAATCAGTCAATCAATCATCGCTAAGTGTTGTATCGTTTGTTGAGAGCAGACGACTTATCTTCTGCTCTAAAGTGCGTTGTAAATTCTTGTAGAATATAATCCAGCAAAGGATACTTAAAGCAGACGAAATATTCTTTTGGATCTAATATAATGATATTTGTTCTGTGATGCTGTTTTAACTAAGTTATGGATATACCGGTATTCATTTCAGTTCATTAGTCCTCTGTGTGGCAACTATGAAACGTAGGGATCAAAGTAACTTTTCAACTCGATCGAAACGTATAGCCATTAGTTTGGCTCGGTCCTTACGGCCATTGAGCAGTTACAGTGTAGGGTCCATTATCGTGCTAACGTCCACCGTGACACGGGACCTCGGTTTTTAAGGTCTCATCTGAAAGACCTGTGACTTATGCAATGTGTTGATCAATCATTGTACTAGTTGTGGAAATATCAAAATCTCTTTTCCGCAACTTCAAAATCAAAATTGTGTCAAGTATTTGTCTAATATATACAAACGTTACCAAAACGGTACAGTCACAATGACAGGATTTACAAAGCATGTGTGTTTCCAAGACTATTTTGTTTTACAAAGGCCAGTCATACACTTTCTTGTTTGAAGACTGTTTTACGCCATTGCCTCTAAAACATATTCAAGATAGCCCTGCCTCTTTCGAACGAAATTGAAGAAGAGGAAGACAGATATAATACGTCAATCATATTTCTTTGTAGAGGCAATTCACAGGCCTAAGTTATGACAAGCTTGGGAACATCGAAAGTGAACGAAGACGGTCAAATTGTTGATACTTTTAATGAGTTTGTCCCAGTCTCTCATACTATATGTTGCAATAATCTGCACAACCTCAGTCCATTATCTATCTAGTGTATGTCGGATTTTCTTGAAATGTTCATGTGAATTTTTTTTGTAATGATATATATGTAGGATATGTAAAATTGCACAGAAATTGCTTTTATTTGTTGCTTTCCTAGTGATATCATCCTCATAACCTCAACGGGAAATGTTGTATTTTATAAAGCAGAATGCGGGGTCCTTGCTAAATTAACATCAATCTTGTTACCTTGCAATGCGCAAGTAAAATGAAAATGGGGCGAAAAAATATTGTCAATTTGGGTGGAATTAAATAAGTAAGTCATGTGGCCGATGATTGACATGATACTTACTTATTGAACAATTATTTTGGGTATCACGCGGTATTCTGATGGGCGTAAACTCGTTCGCTAGCGCGAACTCGCCACCACCCATCAAAATATCTCGTGATACCCAAAATAATTGTTCAGCAACTGTAACACAGAGTGCATGTACATGTATATAACGTCGGTCAGATAGATCAGAAATTGTCAAAAGCAGACCTTTAGAACACGCAAGGGGGGGGGGGGGGGCTTTTTTCTGAGTAAAGTATTTTGTATAGTAAATTTTCTTCTAGACCCTGGTTGCCCCCCCCCCCCCCCCCAAAACTCTTTTTGATGTTGTAAGGTCGAGCATTTGCAAATTCCAGGTTTTGGACAGTAAAATAGTTTTTTGTCAGATAATTTTGGGAAGTTGCCCCCCCCCCCCCCCACTTTTGGTCAGTTTAGGTTTTTTAAGCTTGTCAGATTTTTTTGCGAAGTTGTCCCCTTCACTTTTGAAACCGTTGCTACGGGCCTGAAACGCCCGTATAAAACCGAATGAAATTTGTCAGGGGTCCCACGACAACGGTTCAACGAGTTGACACAGGACCCCTGACGTAGTGAGGATGTTAATGCTGTAAAGCAGTATATATATTTAGTACATTTGAGGCAAAATCTTAAATTGATCTCTTAATCTATTCTACATTGCAAAAGGATTTCTTAGTCCTGTTCCTTTGAAATGAAATATTTCTTCATAAGAAGGAATTATTAGAGTAATTGATGTAACAAGACATGTTTATTTAAACAGGTGATCATTGAAGAAGATGAAAGACATGCCAATATATTCCTCGGTCAAAGTATATATATATATATACTCATTATTATTGATAATTTTTTAACATATTGGTGATCATGAACAAAGAAAGTCATTGAAATAATATTCATAAACAAATGACTTTTGTTTTCACACTTTTTTCTGTAAAATTAGCACATAATACTGATTGGCGTCCGACACAAGTGGTAGGAGATACAATTGACTAGTTTCAAGATACTTTTTAGTCAAACAGGCAATAGAAAAAGTGAATCTGGGACAAAACAACCGTAGGGAAGAAGTCGGTGGTTTGTTGGCGGGAGATACGTGTACAGCAGATACTTCTTCAGCTTCATTAACGGCGTGTGTATGATTTAGATGTCAAGACAGGAAGAGGCTACCAGGTGAGTAATGGACTGCAATATTGACAAATCATTACACAGTGACAGTTTAAGAGTACTTTATCTATCCATTACCTAAAACAGTTATTAATTAGAATAGGGTCGAGTAAAACCACGAGTAACGTTTACACAATTTCTTTTCTTGCAAAACCCAAAGCCCTCTAAAAAAAAATTGTGTTGTACAATTTTTTGTTTCATTATTTATCCAACCACACAAAGAAGACAATGTTAATGTGTACTTGTATTCTTACATCTTTGATAAATCAAATCACTGAATTGATATTGCATTGGTCTATTCCGTCAACACTGAGACAAAAAGGAAAACCTGTTGTTTATATGTAACAGTGAAATATAATGAATAATTTGATTGATTTATGATGAAAAAAATAAAGAACAAGGTACGATAACAGCCGAATTTGGCCCCTTATTAAGAACTTTAAATGATGCTTTGTTTTAAATCCAGCTTTTCTTTCGATTCAAAGCATACACAGAGATCACAAGAGAAAGAAAAAGAAGAACATTTAACTGAATTTAACTGAATTTCTTGATGAAATTTCTTTAGAGATATTTATCTTTTTGGGAATCAGAGAGCACAAGCTTGCCTATCTGAAATTTACATACACAAGATGTATCTGACTCTAGTTCATGGAATACACACACATAATTATATATTTATATATAAATTTGGTAGATAGGCAAGCTTGTCCTCTGTGTTTTCTGAAACAAGATGTGCTTATAAATTAATGAAAATTAAAAATAAGAAAAAAAATTAAGAATTTTTTTTTACCTTCCTGCGACATCTGTGTATTATATCACATAGAATCAGTAGTCAGTTTTTCATAGGGATGACAACATGTGTTTGACTATGAACTACAGTGTATGCATCATTCTAAGAGTCACCTCAAACCAGGGACCACAAAGGGGTCTTAACCTACACGTATCTTGTTGTTTAATTGGTACATTTACTGTCCAGAGTTGAGAGATTTTGAAACATTCATAATGAATAGAGACAGAATTAAATACTTCAGTTTTCAAAATAATAATCTATATTTACTTAAACTTGATCGAGTCTAGAGACAATTATTGCAGATGTGTGTAAAATGATGCAAACAAGCACAGATATACTCGTAGATTTTTTAACACTCACCAACTAAATTTTGGAAGTCTCTATTGTATACAGGCATTTAATCATGTATACATACGGCAATATTCTTTTTGAGCAAAATCGAGGACAAAATAAATTTACATACTTGTATGAACATCCAAATGTTAATATACTTTAGATAACATACATGTAAGGTATACATCTAATCAAATCTAAACATGTACTAGATATGAAAAAGTTTATCCAAGTTACTGAATTTGAACTACCACTTTAATTTCATTAATACCATAAAAAAATCCTCATGATAAAACCCTGAATTGCTTTTTCAATATCAACAATAACAACATGTAGTATGATTCCATGATTAATTACCATGTTTTTGCAGGTATAATCTCTTCCACACACATGTGCAAATACATTCCCAGAAAAAAAGGGTAAAAAAAACATTCATTGTTTTGTCACCATTTCAAAGACAGAACACAAACATTAATTTCCATATTTTCTTGCACACTCCCATACAAAGGGTCATGAATCAATCTGATCAAAATCAAATCCTTGATGTGCTCCTTATTTTTGTTTGTTTATTTATTTATTTTTGCTATTTCTGTTGCATAAGATATTGCGAAAAATAAGCAGGAGACTGGGGATCTGATTTAAAGGAGATTGGGTCAAGAATACACAATTTCGTTTCATTTTTGTTTATCCTAGAGGTTTGATGAAGTAGACTAATAGATTAGGCCAAAAAAAATTAATCAATAGTTTCTCAGGCACCGCCGCATCAGGTCAAAAACGGCCGCATTGATCAATTTTATTGACATTGTGAAAAGGGAAATAACTCAATTTTATAATTTTCCAAGTTGGAAAAGAAAATTGAGTTATTTCCCTTTTCATAACAATGATAGATAGACGTTCTTCTTAGATAAACAATATTCTTCCAGTCTATACAGTCCTTTATTAATTAACTTTTAAAGAAATGTTTAAAATAAATAATTTAAAGTTGAGTACATTTTAATTGGTATATCAAGAGAACAAAAAATTGAGAATCAGTTAATATAATCATTTTGTTGAACGACTGAAATGAAAAAAAACCTGCCTGCCGCATTGAATTTTCAAATTTTTGGCCTGAGAAACTATTCATGAATTTTTTATGGCCTTACTACACAAATGAAGAGAAGTGTATATTCAAAAAGTGAGCATGTTTGAGGAACTATGCTGCATTTTGTGTCACAAAGAATACATACAGTGTAGGATTAAGAAATTATTTTAAAAAAAATATTATTGAGATAAATCTATTTTATGTTAATTCCATATAACTAATCCTTTATATCAAACTGAAATACAATGTGCATGTATTTGTGAACTATAAGGTCTTGCTGAATCACAGAAGAAATTCTATATATTACATATATATTCACTAATTCATTAAGGAGATTTTCTAGTAAAATAGACTATTAAATAATAACAACAGTGTAACATGATATAAAACATACTGCTCATCAAAATATATACTCTATCTGAAAAAATAAAGCAACGAAAATATGCATAACAAATAAGTTAACAATGAAAAAAATATGCTCATTATGCAAACAAATAATATGGCTCACATTAAAAATACCACTTTAAGCAAGATGAAGTCCCACACAGATTGAATCTTCAATGAGATACAGTCAAAAAAAAAAAGCCAGATTTTCATCTGGAAAATGTAGGTCAGATCCAGCATCTGAAGCAAGTGAGGTAGTGTGCAACCTTAGATGATCATCCATGCAAGTTTGGTCAACATAGGGCTTAAAGTTACTTTAGAATGAACATGCTCCAAAAACTTTACCCTGGTCACTCATTTGGAAAATGTCAGATTCAGTATTCCAAGCAAGTCTGGTTATGTTGCATCCTTAGATATATCATCCATACAAGTTTAGTCAGTATAAAGCTTATAGTAATTTGGAAATGAGACCTGTTCTAAAAAGTTTAACCTGCTAAAAAAATATTGCCCTGTTCATTCTTTAGGTGAAATGCAGCTTCTATAATCTGACTGACACAATAAAACACACTAGAAGCATCATCTATGCATCTCTGATCAATATATGGCATAAAAGTACTTGAAAATATATCTGCTTCAAAAACTTTAACTTGGGATGCTGACCCTTGCCAAGGGTGTTACATACATAAGCTCAAAAACTTCATTGAGAAGAACTAAAAATGCATACATGTTTATAACAAAATACCAGGGACGGATAATTTCCTTCATTTTAAGCGTAATTCATTATATCTGTTTAGTTTACAATATATTTTAAAGCCATAAGGAATGAAAATCACTTAGCTGTAAGCGTCAATTCATTAAAAGTGTTTTAGCTATAAGCCTGTTCTACTTCATATGCTTGAAATTTTTGAAACATTATCCTGTCCTTGAAACATTATCCTGTCCTTGAAACATTATCCTGTCCTTGAAACATTATCCTATGCTCTAGTACTGTAAACACTTAGATTGATGGCCTAATTATGACACCAATTATTGCTCGGTAAATCAACTGAATAAGAAGTTGCATGATAAAATAATTTTGAAAAAAAAGATAAATAATTGTGAAACAAATATTAATCATAAAACCTTGCCATGATTGCATTATGATGAGTGTTGTCCCTGAAAAACTCAAACATTTTCAATATTTTTGTTTCACTAATATTATAAAGATTGGCATGCACCATAATCAACTTTTTTTTTTAATTATACACAGAAATTTCAACAAAATATCTCTTTATATAACATTTTTCTCTCTTAAATGAATCTTACAAAGTAGCTTTTGGCTTAACACCGACGTCAAAATGTAAGTCATGGCATTTGTGAATTTCAGGAATTGTGCATCTTTAAGAATTTGTCTGAACTCTGAAGCATAGATTTGACACTGCATTTCCTTTTAGTTCCTGAGTTATCCATGTCACACACACAAGAGTTAAGAAAAGATCAAGGAATTAATTCTTTTTTTAAACTATGTTCCAAACCATGATAATAAACTTAACTGCTCCCATGTTTAATCAGTGGTCTCCATGCCTGATGTCCAGATCTAGCCATTTCAGTTTGTCATCAGTTTTAATAGTTTCCTCCTCCTACCAAATGCCTCTTCCATCAGATACCCAGTGCAACCATCTTTGAACCTCTTTTGCTAGGTATAAATCAGTATTTGTGACGTTTTTGTGTCATTCCATCGTTTCCATATCTTTTCTTATATGGACTGGAGACCTATCCTGCTCAACACAGTACTGTATGATAATTGGTGCACCGCATTATTGCCTGATGTCGCCATTTTTGACAATATCTAACTACATGTAATAGTGTTTATGCATATAATGTCATATTTTTGTTATTTATGATGTCAAATAAATTTTTACACCTGAGTACTCTAAATTATATAGTTTTGGATGTAAATTCTGTCATATTACATTTCCGTATAGCCTGGAAATAAAGAAAACATCACTGGCAATGCTATTTTAGAAAGTAGAAAAAAAAGCAGTGTGCTGACCACCTACATTTAACACTCTTAAATTCTGTTTCTACATGCATATGACATTAGAAACATAGTATTTTGTCAAAATGATCAAAATATCATTTCAAACCATGCAAAAAATAAATAATTTTGGTTGAGTAGTTTATGAAATACATAAAAAGTTTGCATTTTTCTGGGACAACCCTCGGAGAGTCTTTCTTCCTTAACATTAACAAAAATATTGAAAAAATACAACAAACATCTCAATACACAGGTCTTCAGATTGTTACAACATTTGAAATGTGAGGCATACTAAAATTAATACATAACTAGAACTGTCCAAAATGGACAAATACCATCACTGGGTTTTTCAGAGAAGATGCCAAGTCACTAATACTAGTATTTGAGGATCTAAGAGGTGTTCACAATTTGTTTAAACATTTAGAGTGCAAATTCAGTTGCTCATTAGATTTTTTAATGAATGATGAACTAAGGCACAGCCTAATAAAACATCAATACTAATAATTACATTTTTTTATTTAGATTGAAAAAATAAATTGTGACTATATCTGTCAACTTTGTGAAGTGACGCTGCAATTTGTTTGTTGAAAAAAAAAAATCAAACAATATTAATAAATAAATCTTGATAACTTTATACCAAAGCCATTTTAAAAATAAAAGTCTGGTCATTCAGTAACTACTTATTTCGACAGACTATAAATGTTAACAAGCTAATTCAGAGAATTTGTGTCCCCCTCTTAGGGAAAAAAGAAGAGCATGCGCAGTTCGGAGGGGGGGGGGGGGAGGGGGGGATCACACTGCCCCCCTGTATTTGTAGAATTATTAAATGTATACATGTTTATTGAAGCAAATTTAAAAATTGCCAATATGGTTAGACAGATTTGATTGCTTATTCTTTAATATGTGTATAGAAAATTCTTTTTAATATACAGAATATTTATCACACTGTAATAATGATTTTATGAGTTTGTACACGCCAGACATCATAACTTTTTCATTTCACATGTTGAATAGTATCATTTAATAAATCAAAAAAAAAAAAAAACATTAAAAAAAAAAGGAGCATCGTCCGGGAATTGAACCCGGGCTTCTCGCTTGCGAAGCTAGCAACATACCACTAGACCACGGAGGCATTTGATTATACAGGAAATTAAAGGCAAACATTTCTTAATAAGGTTAATGCACGACTCTTAGATTTGTAGGGACTATCTACCAAAAAAACTTTCTTTTCATACTTGAAGATTTTTTTGAGTTTTAATGAGCAGTTTTAAGCTGCAATTCACATTTTTGTACAGATGTCTCAAATGGCAGTTCTAGATTCTAGATTCTATGTCTCAAATCTTCATGAACCCAAAATGACAAAGTCAATAAGAATGAAAAAAAAAAAAACACTGTAAATTGCAGAAAAGTTACCCAATCATAATGAAAATACCAGGTGCACACATTCAAATGGTGAATAATGAGTGTAGAAATTTTAAGACAAATCCATGCAAGAGTCTCCGAGAACAGGTCCAGACAAAATCACATTTATAAGGCAGACGGACAGACAGACGGACATGCCGATTCCAATATACCCCCCTCAAACTTCGTTTGCGGGGGTATAATTAGTTGTTACATTTAAAGTACAGCACCACTCAGTGTAATTTGTGGCAATGAAGTTAAAATAAAAGCATCATAAATATTTAGAAAAATAATGAGAAAAATAGACTACCCTGACAATGTATTCAGAGAATCCTGTATACAAAATGAAAGACTAAACTGTTGTGTTTTTGACCAGCTGTATGATGACCGAGTAAAGACTAACAGCACTACACAGAATTCCCAGGACAATGATAGAGGTGTCTTTGATACAGATGAACCAGGACAGATCTCTGTGACACAATTTAAGATGAAATAAACATGGCAGAATGTAGGCCAGCATAGAGCTTCCTATGGCACCTGGAATAAATGGGTGAACTTGATCATGTTGATGAGTCATACAATTTAGAACTGGTCCCAAGGTCATGAAGCAGTCAGAGACTTTTAAAACATAGGTAATCAAAATTATGAAGCTCACCTTGATGAATGTCATCTATAAGTAAGGCAAATTTCACATCATTAATATCCATGCAAGTTTGGTTTAAGTAGGACTTATAGTTACTTGGAAATAGACCTGCTAAAAAAACTTTTAACCTGTTTACTGATGAAGGAAATTTTTGTCAGTTCCAACATATAAAGCTAGGCTAGAAGTTTTCATCCTTAGATGCACCATCTCTGCAAGTTTTATAATAAGAGGCCATAATATTATATAGCTATTCGAAAAACATTACCCTGGTCACTCATCTGGAAAATGTAGGTCAGATTCAGAATCCAAAACAAGCCTGGAAGTATCCATCCCTAGATACATCATCCGTGAAAATTTGGTTAAAATATGGCTAAAATTCACTCATGTGGAAAATCTAGGTCGGATCCAGCATCGTAAGCAGGTTGGTTAGTGTACATCCCTGGATGCATCATCCATGCAAGTTTGGTCTAGGTAGGGCTTATCGTTACTTGGGAATGGATTTGATCCTAAACTTTAACCAGGACGCCGATGCCAATGCCGGGGGTATACCATAAGCTCATCTCGACTTCGTTGAAATGTTTTCTATAGCAGAATGTACATGTACACATTTTGACATATTTAAAGTGTAAAACTGCTTCATGGTCCTGGGGTAAGAAATATTTGTATTATGAATACCTTTGTGATGTACATGTCTGCTAAACATAACAAAATGTGTGCAAGACTTAAAAAAAGACTTTGAAAGTGTTGTTTGCTTTTAATAAAACAACTCATGATAAATTTTGCTTTTGCTAAGCACAGCTCAATGATCTCTTGCTTGGAAACATGTCTGATTTTAAGTGAGTATATAATTTAGATAAACTGTGAAAAATCTTACCTGTAAATGCTGCTACTAGAGCAAAACTATTTCTAAATATAACAGCCAGTCCTGTAGCTGTCAACACAATCAGCATTCGTAAGACATTTCTCCTCCAAGTTGGTACCTAAAGGTAAAAATCCACAGAGGTTAAATGTTAAGTGGGTAACCTATATATAATTAACATCAAATTTATACATACTTCTTAAAACTGTTGCTTAATTTCTAATTATACTGCATATATTTAACAAAGAGTTAAAAGTTTCAGTATTTTTAATTTCTTTACTTTTTTCAGCTCATTAATCACTGCATCGTCAGTACATACAATAAATGCATTCAAGATAACCCACAAAGTGTAAACAAGAGGCCCATGGGCCACATCGCTCACCTGAGCACATTGGCTAGGAAAAAGCACAAATCAATTCAGCATTGAGAAGTTTACGGGGGGGGGGGGGGGGGGGGGGGGGGGGGGGGGGGCTTGAATTTTAAACTACCTGAGGATGCTTCCATATCAATATAACAAATGGCTTTGCTGTTCTTGAGCAGAAGATTTTTAAAGATTTTTTCCTATATATTCCTCTGTAAAAATTTGATACCCCATTGTGGCCCCTCCCTACCCCCAGGGGTAATCATCTGAACAAACTTTAATCTACACTACCTGAGGATGCTTCCATATCAATATTACTAAACAAGGCTTTGCTGTTCTTGAGAAGATTTTTTCCTATATATTTCTATGTAAAACTTTGATCCCCCATTATGGCCCCACCCTAACCCCAGGGGTCATGATTATAACAAACTTGAGTCTACACAATAATTGAGGATGCTTACATATCAATATGAATAAACAAGGTTTTGCTGTTCTTGAGAAAAAGATTTTTATAATTAAAGATTTTTTCCTATATATTTCTATGTAAAATTTTGATCCCCCATTGTGACCCCACCCTAACCTCAGGGGTCATGATTTGAACAAATTTGAATCTACACTACCTGAAGATGCTTTCATATTAATATGACAAATCAAGGCTTTGCTGTTCTTGAGAAGAAAATTTTTAAAGATTTTTTCCTATATATTTCTATGTAAAATTTTGATCCCCCATTGTGACCCCACCCTACCCCCGGGGGTCATGATTTGAACAAATTTGAATCTACACTACCTGAGGATGCTTTCATATTAATATGAAAAATCATGGCTTTGTTGTTCTTGAGAAGAAGATTTTTAAAGATTTTTTCCTATATATTTCTATGTAAAACTTTGATCCCCCATTGTGACCCCACCCTAGCCCCGGTGGTCATGATTTGAACAAACTTGAATCTACTCTACCTGAGGATGCTCCCATATCAATATGACAAATCATGACTTTGTTGTTCTTGAGAAGAATATTTTTAAATTTTTTGCTATATATTCTTATGTAAAACTTTGATCCCCCATTGTGACCCCACCCTATCCCCAGGGGTCATGATTTGAACAAACTTGAATCTACTCTATATAACAAAGATTTCCTGTAAGTTTCAACTTTTTTGGGCCAGTGGTTCTTGAGAAGAAGAAGAAATATGCCACCAAATTTTCACTATTTCTGAATTATCTCCCCTTGGATGAGGGTGTGGCCCTTTATTTGAACAAACTTGAATCCCCTTCACCCAAGGATGCTTTGTGGCAAGTTTGGTTGAAATTTGCCCAGTGGTTCTGGAGAAGAAGTCGAAAATGTGAAAAGTTTACAGACAGTTTACGGACGGACAGCTAGACAGACGGACTACAGACAAAATGTGATCAGAAAAGCTCATTTGAGCTTTCAGCTCAGGTGAACTATCAAAATGAAACATAAAAAGAATTTCAAACAAAAAATCTTGAAAGTTTTTTCAACATCTTCATGCATATATAATCTCTGTAAAGAACTAACACATAATAAAATTCTTACTCATTTAAGTATTTGTACATCAGACAAAACTTTGGCACCTGAAGTTAACACAGTTATATATTTAAAATTCAAAGAAGCACCCACTGTTTATTCAGAGAAGTGATTTGCTTAAAATGCTGAAGTTACATATAATAATGAAAATTTATCTGTGCAATCCCTTGGTTCTTTTAAACTTACCCAAATTGCAAACTATGATTAAGTGAGCATGAAAATATACATGTAAGTTCATAAAAGAATTATAAATTTTGGTTTAAAATTATTAAACAAAGGAAGAAATTCACAGTTTGATCAGAAAATTAGCAGGTACCCATGATTGAAATGCACAAAAAATCAAATTCTACATTACTTATCTGTATAAAAACAAACAAGATAAGTTTCACACATAGTCACTGTAAGTATTTGATGATGTTCTTACCGACTTGGATATGTGAGCTGCCACACTGATAGGAAGAACAGCTGATGTTTTATCTGAGGAGTCTGGGAGCAGGGACTCTTTACCATCCTCCTCCTCATCATCATCAAGAAGGGAATTCTTCTTTTTTGGTCCACAACAAGCCCCTGGGTAGAAAGTGAAACTTCGATTTTGTAAATTCAATGTAAAAATGTAATTTAATCAATAAATTTCTGAAATGGCTTCTATTTATTACAGTTATAAATCAGAGATCTCCCCAACCCTTCACATGCTTCTTATGAGTCTAAAAGACTTATCTGGTATCAACTGTTTACTTGAAGAGTTTTTTTTAAAGTTTTAAATAACATTTTTAATGTATTGTAGCATTCATTTTTCAGTTTACATCCCCTCCCCCCAAATATTTCAATAGAAAGAAATTTCAGACACATGTACCTTGTAGCACTTTCTTCCAACAATCTAATAAAGAGAATTATTCAAATCCAAATACATGTACTTCAATCAGTTCAGTGTTTCCTTATGAAATTCATAAATTTGGGCATACCTTCTGAAAAAAGAAAAATTTCACACATTTCTATCACTGGGTAAATCTGCAGAGGGAATGTTAACAGAACTCCTAGGATTGCACAGATATTGACAGCTACAGACACCCAGCTGGAAGCCGGAATGTTAGTATTTAGCATCTGGTTAAGCTCTTCACCGAATCGAAGATAACCCAGAACCCCAAATCCACCAAGAATCACAGTCAAAACACCAATCGCACCATGTAAAAAGGCTGCAAAGTTGTGCCGATTTCCCTCCATACTGGATTCAACTGGGATGATCTACAATATTTTAAGTTCAATGTACAGAACATCTTATGAGGCCTATTTTCCAAAATGCAAAATATGATAAGTTTATTATTTACAAAATACTCTTTCTGATCATTGTGAACATTAACAATATTGTGTTTTCCCAAATAATTATAAAACACATCTTCTATAATTTTCAAATTGTGAAATATTTATATTAATTTGTACACGTAAATGTTCTCCCTTGTATAACACTATTTGAACAAGCCTGTATAAAAACAGGTTTCTTACATGACCATAAATTCATTGTCAAGTCATGAATGATTGACTTAATTTCACAATGACATCAAAAGTGATGATTTATATCATTGAGGTTTAAAAAAAATATAAATCATTTCATCAATTTAAAAATATAGTGCGCAAATATTTGTTATAAATCAGTCACAAATAATAACATATTACTTTAAAACATTTATCAGCATGTACATATGGGTTGGTACCTGATCAAACCTATCATAAAGCCCTTTGGACTTTATAGGATCTGAACATGTGACCAACCTGTATTTACATCCCAATAAAAGTTCTTAAATAAAACATCTAAAATCTGTTTTCTCTTCTTTATATTCTTACCAATCCAATCCCTTCAAATGCAGCAGTCACCATTCCAAAGAAAACAGGAAGCCCCTCCCATCTCATCCACACTATTGTCTCATGGATGTGGAAATCTGGAATTGTCAAATAACAACTTACATCAGTGTACTAATATGCTGCATTGTGCATTTATGTACTAACTATCTGAACTGCATCAAAATTAATGAAATAAAATTGTATAAGAAAGTGTGACATTATAATATATATACAGGTACTTACCAATCACTAAATATAGGAACACAGAGGCACTGCCTACTAATATGGAAACATTGGCCATTACACTAATAAAGCCCAGCTTTCTAACATTTCTAAAGAGTGCAAACAACAGGAAGATTGGCAGAGGAGACAAAACAAGCAGCTTCAGGTCCGGAGCTGTTGACTGTATTACCTCTCCTGTAATGTTCAACATGGCTGCAGATGTTGCATTGATATGTGGAGCTAGCATTGTGGAGGATATATTTAATGGTAGGGCAGTTGTCACAAGGTCTGTAAGATTTCCAGTCAATAATGCTGATGACATTAATGAAGATACTGTTATATTTTCTGTAAACTGAACTTCTGGGAAAGAAATATTTGGTAAGTCAGAAAGTGATCTTTTGGCAGGTCTGATATTGGAACTTGGTAGTAATCCCAGGTAACGAAGCTCACAAGATGGCACATCAGAAGAAACGCTAACATTATCTACATTTAAAATGGCATTATTGCATACTTTGGCAGGAAATAAAGAGAAAATGGTATTTCCCAAAAATATTGAATACCCAACACAAAAACAGAACTGTGTCACTCCGATGCAGATGTTAACAATAATCCTGCCGATTTTCCCCATACTGATCTGTCCTATATCTCCATAAGACATGTGCTTTAACAAGTGTTGTTCCATTAAAGTCTTTTCATCCAAATCATAAATCACTATTTCTTCATCTTCATCTGAGGAAAATAGTTCTGAACTACTGTCCTTGACAGCAGTTGAATTCTTGGAGGTTCCCTTTCCAGCTTCATACATTGCTATTACCTGTTTGATGGCATGGTATTTTGTTTTGACGATCAGGTGACAACAGTGGTCAGTCAACAAAGCTATTAACAGCAATCCGCCAAACCCAAGCTGTACAAATATTTTAAAAAATTGTACAGGTTATGTTTTTAACATTTGTAGTATTTGTAAAAACAAAATATTCTACACATATGTACTATTACATGTATAATAATTATGGTATTTGAGAGAATTTCTAATTACATGTAACTATGAAAGCATTCACATTTCTGACATTATACTTGGTTAAGCTTTCTATCAAAATACAAACATTGGTAATCAAATCAAGCTCACCTTGACGAATGTTATCTATAAGTAAGGCAAATCTCACATCATATTTTTTTCCTAGTTAGTGTACATCCAAGGATCAATATCCATGCAAGTCGGGTTTAAGTAGGACTTATAGTTACTTGGAAAGAGACCTGCTCAAAAAACTTTTAACCTGTTTACTAATCAAGAAAATTTTGGTCAGTTCCCAACATCCAAAGCAAGTCTGGAAGTTTTCATCCTTAGTTGCACCATCAATGCAAGTTTAATCATATCAGGCCATAATATTATATAACTACTCCAAAAACATTACCCTGGTCACTCATCTGGAAAATGAAGGTCAGATTCAGAATCCAAAGCAACTCTGGAAATGTCCATCCCTAGATACGACATTCATGCTAATTTGGTTAAAATATGGCTAAAATTGAATGCACTCATTGGAAAATATAAGTCATATCCAGCATCCAAAGCAGGTTCATAAGTGTACATCCTTAGATGCCTCATCCATGCAAGTTTGGTCCAGGTAGGGCTTACAGTTACTTGGGAATTGACATGCTCCAAAACCTTAAACCTGAGGCCTGTTCAACAAAGCGAGCGCTCGCGAACGCTCGCGAACATTTCTGTTGGAAAGATAAGGAATTTAGGCGAGCGCTCGCGAACGTTCGCTCTGTTGAACAGGCCTCTGGTCACTCATCTGGAAAATCTAGGTCAGATCCAGCATCCAAAGCAAGTGTGGTAGTGTCCATCTCTAGATGCATCATCCATGCAAGTTTGGTCCAAGTAGGCTTATAGTTACTTGGGAATGGACTTGCTCCAAAAACTTTAACCAGGACCGGGGCTTATGCAGACGGTACAGCATAAGCTCATCTTGACTTCATCAAGGTGAGCTAAAAAGGCACCAATCTGATTTGAAAATTCTTTGACCTCTAATATATATTCAGTTTAATTAAAATTAGATCTTTTACGCTCCTGTATTTTGTTATGTCGCTGTACAGCAACACAGCTATACAGCGACATAACAAAATACAGGAGCGTAAAGGATCTAATTTTAATTAGATTGGTATATATTATGTTCTCTTTAATATAAACTTGGAGGGGGGGGGGGGGGGGCTTGAGAGATTGATGCCTGTAAATTCTTATTCCCAAGTCATGAACTAATAATTCTCCATAGCTTACCCCTAAACCACTTTGAAGAAATGCATATGACACTGTCAAGTAGTTTGACCCAATAAAAGCCTTCAGCATGTTGGCAAAGTCTGCTACATAGTTCTGCCAGATTGGCTTTGACTTTGTACTGAAATAAAATATTCATAGATTAAAATAAAAGCAAAAATATGTGGTTGCAAATTGTTTTAGAAAATTTCTATCAACATACCCTCAGAAAGGGTATTACTGCAAATTATTGTACGTAAGTAGGATGAATAATAAAGTGCCCCGCCACAGCATGATACGCCCGTCAAATATTGTTCAATTAGGATGCAAGAAAATAATGTCAACCTTAATTCAAAGATTTCCATGATTTTTCCATTCCTTATAATATATTTGATGTTTATACATTTCCTGTAGTGCAGACACTAATTATAATAAATTTCTCAACTGGTTGTGTTAGACCTTGACAATTGCCCATCTGCAGCCCTCTTCCCCCCCCCCCCCCCCATCTTTCATATTTATTTGATATTTTCAAAAAATTAAATAAAAATATCATATTAAAGAATTTCAAAATAGTCTTAACAATTCAATCTATACCAAATTAATTTTGAAAATAAAAGGCTGGCCATCAAATGACATGCTATAAACTGACAAGCAGATTTTCTGTCTTATTCCCAAAGGATACAGATAAGAGATGCTTGATCAGAGATGCTCTAACAGAAATGATTGAGACAGTTAGCCTTCCTATACATTGAACTCATTAATTATAATCTTTAACTGGATGCATGTCCATTCATTACTCCCAAGGGATGAATGGATCTGCACTATCTGCTTTAATAGTCTGTATTGTAATAAATATGCATATTTATGTCATTCCGTTGAAAACAGATTTTTTTTAACTTGTTACAAAGATTTATAAAAAGAAACAAAAACTTGTAATCTTGATGCAATATTTTTAATAAGGTTACTGCATGACTCTTAGATTTGTAGGAACTATCTGCCATAAAACATTTTTTAAAAAAAATACTTGATTTTTTTTAGATTTAATGTCAGGCTGGTTTTAAGCTGTAGTTCATATTGACAAACCGACACATGCTGATTCCAATATCCCCCCCCCCCTTTGGATATAATAAGTTTTCATTATATTACACAAGATCAAATTAGTTTGTTATACAATATCAAGTTAGTTTACTTTTCACCAAATTCATTTTTAAAGTTAAAAAGCTAGCCAACTAGATTCATTTAATCCAACGCTGATTCTTTTGCCTAATTCCCAGGAGATATAGATAACACCTGCTCGATCAGATATGCTCTACCAGTTAGCCCCTCACACTAAAACTCATTAATTTCTCTCTAATTTGACATGTAATTTTCTGTTATCAAAATTTTCCTGACCAGTGCTTGATGATTACACCCATGGGAGAGGTGGAATTTCTCTTATAACATTACATTTGTTATAGATTGCTGTAAAGTATATAATGAAAAAAAAGTATTTTCTTGATTTAACATTTTTTTAATAAGGATACTGCAACATTCTTACATTTTTGGGGATTGTGCAATTTAATAGTATAGAGACACAGTTTTTAAAAAAAATTTCCACTAAATTAAAGGTCACAGTGACCTTGAAATAGGTCGCGACACACCTTCTACCTAAGATGCATAAATTGGCCAAGTTTGATGATTCTAAGTCTAATAGTTTTCTAGTTATGAGCCGGACAGGATTTTTCCATATTTGGGCATAGCATCTTAATTAAAGGTCGAAGCAACATACTTTTAATGCACGACAAACCTTCTACCCAAGATGTATCAGCTGACAAAGTTTGATAATCCTAGGCCTAATAGAATTAAAGTTATGAGCCGGACACGAAAAAGCTAACAGACGGACGGACGGACATGAAGGCTATAACATAATACGTCCCGTCTCAAGACGGGCGTATAAAAATAAGGAAGAATAAAAAAAAAATGAAATTGATTACTGGTATACAAATACAAGTGATAAGGCCATCTTTTAAAAAAAATTGTTTGCCTCTCCTGACCAACTGACTTAAACAGCCCAACTCAAAACACTGTACATGTACATAATTTGGCGTATTCAAAATTTAGCGCAATCACTGGGTATGATGTTGTTGGCGAAATCATGAATAAGCGCTATACAAGTCCGTGCTGCATATTGTATTTATGATTTCTTGGCAGTATTCATGAATTAGCGCATTGTTGTCTGCGCCAAAGCTGCTAAAATATGAAGCCCGCTTTTTTAAGTACACATACCGTATTTTAACCACCATGAAACAAATTTTTTATTCATTCCAAAATTTTCTCATCCCATTATATAATTAATAACTATTTCAACTTTATATTCATGAGTACTTTTGAATAAAAAAAAAATTTACTCCTACCTACCTACGATTTTTTCCCCTAAGATGGGAGAGGGCAAGTAAATATCTTTTTTATAGACAGCTTAACATATGCCCTTTCCTCCTTGGTCTACTTCTCTTTTACTTTTACATGTAAATAATTTAATTCTGGTTGTAACGAGCTATTTGATTGGATGAAAAATTTACTTTATTTCATATAAACGATGTTGCCAAAGTCACAATAGCTTGCATCAAAAAACGTAGCAATCCGCCTGACGTTTCATTTGAATAATGTACAAGTTGAAGTCATTTTTAAAGGACAATCGTCTTATTTACTTGCACTAAATAAATGAATAATTAAATTATAAAGATTCGCAGTTTATAAAGTGTAAACTGCATCAATTTTACTTTCAGTAAATTATAGATATGGTATTCTAAGTTTGATTAACTTTTGCAGTTAGAGAAACAATATATGTCAATTTTTATCTAGCTGTACACAACACAGACACTGAAATTGATCAAATGTAAATTACCCCTTTATTATCTAGCTGTGCAAACACATTATTTCAGAATGACATTTCTCTACAGAAACAAAAGTTTATCTATATTTGATCTTTATACAGATAATTCATAGTCTTTTTGATAACAATAATTTAATTATGCAGTGTGTAAGTCATTATCGGAAGTTTATCATGTCCATAAACTGGTTTTTATTTTATTTGCTTAAGAAACTGGGGTATAAGCTGGGCCATATGCCTACATAATGACAGATAAAAATCAATAAATTTATTTTTCACAAATTCCACTTTTTGTTAAATTTAGATATTGTTTATTGCCCCTTGCATACAAAATTGACAATACCTAAATACAATAACATTGAAATTGATTCTGATTAACAAAAAAAAATGGTAACATGCTCAATTTACAAAAAACTGACATCAATTGGATGATGTAACTACATTTTTTAAATAGAGTTGGTCATCACATAATTTTTTGAGAAGCAATGGAAAGATGTTTCCTTTTACACCTGCAAAAATGTGGTAGGAAGACCCACTCCACACAAAAATTATGTTCACTTCGTTAAATTTTCAAATGATTTAAACTGTATTCCATTGACAATCAGAAAAAACATAACATATCAAACCTCCTGCAAGGCTGTCAACAGAGAAAATTTTATGTGTCCATCTAATATTAAAATTGTCTGATTACAGCATATGAAATACTTAAGATGGGGTTTAGGTTAAAAAAAAAACAAGGAGAACATCTCGACAGAGTGGTTGCAAAAATATAATAGGTAACACTGTTAGTACCTTGGAAATCTGCCTCGAAGCAGGGAACCCCCCGTTTGTTTATAATTTTTGTTTCTTACCTTGTGTACTCTTATTATACCACATATGGCCAATTTTAACCTTAACAGAAGTACAAACCAATTGCACAGAATGACATACAGATAGAATTGCCAGAGAAATCACATATTTTTCAAGAAATAAAGACTCCTTATATTTTATTAGTTAGTTTGGGGGAGGGGGATCCACACTTCAGGTGCCCGTGATAATTTTTAGACCCAAATACTGAACAGGTGCCTTAAAGATATTGGAATTTAGGACTTAGTTTGGAATTGGAAGATTTAACTGATGCCTTTGGTGAAGTTCGAATAGATTTATATTAAAAAGAATCGAATCCCAGTCCAGATTAGTGGTACATGTACATATACTGTAGAACATATTGTCTTCAGTAGACAACCGTCATTGTTAACTTACAGGAAATGCATGTGCACAGCTTAAATGCATTAACAAAAGAGTGTATGACTTTTGGACTTAGTGATGATCATTTACTATACATACGTAACGATGTAAAAGCAAATGCTTCCTGACAAGACACCACCAATGTATATATTCTTTGCAAATTCGCATTTCAATTCATTTTGATTTTCAAACAATTTTCATTACCTGGGATTCGATGTCATCTTTGTGAGTCAGAGAAGATAGCTTGTTCAAGAATGTAGACCACTGGCAGGTCATTAAATCGAAGTGCTGTTCTAAAACGCTCCGTGGTTCTGTTGTTGTTCGTCCTAGACGTCCACTCTTAACGACTGTCACATCATCATCAAAACACACTGGAACTCTTCTTTCCAGGGAGATCAAATTTGTACTGTTGTACTTACATCGGGGTCTATTGGATATCGAGCTCCGAAAATGACCAATCATCAACACCGTCTTATTAAAGAGCGCACATTACAAACAGGTAAACATAGGACAGTGAACCTAAGATAGTTCCTTTCAGTTTGAGTTTGAAATATTTTTTGTTTGCATGACGATTTTTCAAATTGAAGATATTTATGTCTTTTGATATATTTTGTTTTTAAAAAAGCTGAAGGTTGTTTGTGCAGGGACCTAACATATATCTAACTTAAGTCCCTGGTCTGTGTATCAACAGCTGATCAACCACAGGCCTCTTAATTTCTATCTATAAGCCGTTGTATGATTTATCCGAGTGAAATATATACCCCCTCTATATATTTAATATATTTATATTGATAGAAATTCAGAGGCCTGTGCGTCAACTAGGATCATTTGTAAAAAAAAAAAAAAAAAAGAAAAAGAAAAAAAAAGGATTTTTTTGTTAAAAAAAAAAAGTTTCTTTAGATTGATGTATGTGATACATGTCATATTACATCTATGTGTATTTTCACAGCACTGGCTAACTAGAGTTGATTAATTAAAAGATTCAGTATTTATAGATTAGAAAAACAAAAATGCAAAGCCAGGAGTCACAACTGTCTGATCTTGTTAGTCTCGGGAAGGAGGTTACAGCAGCCTTTGAAGGGTCACAAGAAACTGAACTAACAGAGAAATGTGCTGGCATCATCAGGGAAATCCGTCATCTTCAACAGAAACAAAGAGAGCAGCTAAAACAGCAGATTCAGGGTAATTTTTCAAATTCATATGATTGTCTACAATGCGAGTCCTCAGTCCTGTTTAGATGGGTGCAAATCACTGCATCTCAAAATTAGAATGCCCCATGCATGAAGTGCCTTAAATTTTTTTTTACAGGTGCCAAATATGTGTATGAGTGCCTCAAAATTTAATTCAAGAGCACCCTAAATGAATATCTTTAGTGTCCCAAATACATATAGCGAGCACCCCAAGACTTGTACTTATTAAGTATGATAATGAGTTAAACTAGGTTTGTAAATAATTCTTAAATTATGACATATGAAAAGGCTTTCTACTTAAAAGGCTAGAGAGGCCTGAGTCATCATCAGAACCACCAGTTTTCTCTCCGTTACACTACATTCAACCCGTGTTGAATACAGTGTAACGGAGTGAAAACCACTGGGTTCCGATGATGGGCCTAAGTATTCTATTTACAACTACTGTAAAACAAAAATATGAACAAGCATCAAATGTTATTTGGTAACTATAATGCAGAGAATGGTGACTGCCTCAAAGAACATCATAGGATCAAGGGTGTCAGATAAGGGTAGGTTACAAAGAGGTCATTGTTAGAAATGGCAACTGGGAATGACATTTGGTATCATACAAATGGGATTTGATTTTTTTTAAAAAAAGTGAACAAAAAACTTATCTTTGGCAAATGGAAGATTATTTGCAGTATAAAGATATCAATGTTTGTTTGAATAAATCTCTTGAAAGTTTTGCTGCATTGCTGCAGTTTAAATTTGTAATTTGTGTAGATTTACTATTGACTGTATTACCATTATCTTACAATGATGTTAATGACTAATTTCATAAAAAATCATTATGATGACTGTAGACTTAATAAACCAAGAGGAACTTGAGATGGAGAATGTGAAGGAAGATGGAGAGAAAACAGAAACTATCCATCAGGTTCATAGTGTCCAAGAACAAATAAAGGCAGAGAGAGAGCACTTAGGGGAGGTAACAAAGAAATGTGAAGAACTAAAGAAAACCCTACAGAATCAGAGAGAGGAACAGAAGAGGTTAACAGCAGAGGAACAGAAAGCCAAACACAATAGTACTCACACACTCCCAAAGATCAAGTGAGTCATTAAGAAGATCTCTATTGCTTTGGAAATTTAAGTACTAGGCAATGATTTCCCCTCTCATTTTTAACAACTGAATATCTTTTTCTTGTTAGATTTATCACGCCTGCTAATCGATCAGTTGCATAACCAGCAGTTATGTATAATAATCAAAAGAGATCGATTTCCGGTTATGCATTTGATACGAATACATGTAATTTCAATTCACAGATGGTAAGTTGACCCGATGCAGGCAATAATTGAAATTTTAATTAAAATATAAGAATGTGATTCCATGAGCAATTTATTTTTCTTTTATTTTACACCCTTATAAAATGCAAGAATTGTCGATAAACAACGATATTTGTTTTGAAGCAAGGGCTGGTAGAGCGAAAACGCTGATTGAAAACAGAATTGCCGACTGGAATTCGTGATAATCTCAACTAACTTTAAATATCCAATGTTCACCATTAGTTTGCATCAATTACATCTTATCCATCCAAATTTGGACTTTGATATGTGTATTATTTGGCAAATATTCGAGGTAAATAACGTTGCCTATGCATGTGATACTTGAGTTGTGAAAGAGATTTCGGGTTATGCATGAGAAAAAGGACAAAAAGTTTTAGAAGTTTTATACGATCTCCATAATTCACTTCTTAGACTTTTTACTCTTGGTAATGATTATCAAATTTTAAATATTGGCTGTAAAATGAAGACGTTGCTCCATATTTGCTAGCACATTTTGATTTTTCTTATGCCAGAGAAGGAAAACAGAATACTGCGTTGATTTATATTCAATACTTTTTAAATACTAGTACGTTTAATCATTTATGAAATTAAAGTATATTGATTTTGTATTTTTTTTAAATACTTACGCTAGTAAAGATTATTTCTTTTTAACAAATATTAAAGTATATCCGTTTTTTCGTGTGTCACAAACTTTTTATATGTATGCTTTAGACAATTTCTGCGACTTTGAAAAAAAAAATTCTTAGTACATTAAGTGGATGTATATTTTTGCATGTTTTATTTTTTGCGATCTCAAAGTGATCGCAAAAATATTCAAAAAAAAAAAAAAAAAAAAAAAAAAAAAAAAAAACAACTGGATATACGGTAAATTAAATGCTGTTGTTGATACCCCCCCCCCCTGGAAATAACTCTTACTATCTCTTTATACATTCACTAATGATGTATGAATTGAGGCTTGAGAATTATAAAACCCAAAGAGATATTGGTAAAATATTCTTTCCTACAATTTCACTGACTCTGATTGCAAATAATTCATTCTTTTACGCTTCTTCATAATTTGAACGTCTTATTATACACTATAGCAACATGCATCTATAACCGATTTTATGGTGTGCAAACCATTTTCTTTCTCTTGCTTCTTTTCGTGTAATGGACGATCTTTACCTTTTTACCATCAAACATGAGAATTTAAGATGAGGCGTTATCATCTTGTGCCTTTTCCAGCTCGATAACAGAATTCAGTATACTCGGCCTCAGAACATAAGGAAATGCTTCACCCATGGGATTTATTTCAGGAAAAGCAAAATTTTTTTACACTGTTGTGGATGTAGCATATTTTGCCCAAACAAAACGTCTGTTCCATTTTTTAGACAAAACATAAATCTAATGAATTTTTCACCAAATAAATTCTAACCTATACTCAGAAAGCAAGGAAGGGGGGGGGGCACTTTTTTCTGAGGATAGAAATTTGCTTTAGTAAATTTTCCTTTAAATGCGCTGCCCCCCTTTTTTGATGTGAGGTCGAGCACTGGCAGATTCCAGAATTTGGACTCTAAATTGTTTTCTTTCTTTTTTTTTTTTTTTTTGCTTGTCAGAAAATTTTGGGAAGTAGGCCCTCACTTTTGGTCAGTTTAGGGTTTTTTTTTTCTTTTTCTTTTGCTTGTCAGATTTTTGGGGGGAAGTTGACCCCCCCCCCCACTTTTGAAACCATTGCTACGGGCCTGTTAACGATGCCTTGAGTTTTAAAACTGAAAAATACACACACAATAATGTGATGTAAATAGTTCTATGTGTGAAGAAATAGAGAATTAATGTTAGTGCAATTATTTTTAAAATAGTTTGTACTGATTGTAACTGAACCCCCCCCCCCCCCCCCCCCCCCCCCGATTTACTTCAACAATTAAGAAATCTTTTTTTTTTTTCTTTTTTTTTAAATTCAACTTGTTTGCAGGAAAATCCTTTACTTTTATTTTTAAAATTTTGGAAGACTACGTTATAATTACATAATGTTTAATTTTAATTATAAAGTTTGAAACTGTTTGTCCTTTATCTCATGCATAACCCGAAATTGCTTTCACAACTCAAGTATCGCATGCATAGGCAACGTTATTTACCTCGAATATTTGCCAAATAATACACATATCAAAGTCCAAATTTGGATGGATAAGATGTAATTGATGCAAACTAATGGTGAATATTGGATATTTAAAGTTAGTTGAGATTATCACGAATTCCAGTCGGCAATTCTGTTTTCAATCAGCGTTTTCGCTCTACCAGCCCTTGCTTCAAAACAAATATCGTCGATAATCGACAATTCTTGCATTTTATGAGGGTGTAAAATAAAAGAAAAATAAATTGCTCATGGAATCACATTCTTATATTTTAATTAAAATTTCAATTATTGCCTGCATCGGGTCAACTTACCATCTGTGTATTGAAATTAATCGTATCAAATGCATAACCGGAAATCGATCTCTTTTGATTATTATACATAACTGCTGGTTATGCAACTGATCGATTAGCAGGCGTGATTTATGTCTATCTGTTTTTAAAACTGATAAAAAAAAATAATTAAGCACTAGCATGATAGAGAGTGACTAATGGGGAGGGGGTGGGCAAAAGGAATATCTTACCCTTCCCCCATTATACTGCTGGACATCACTACATATGACCTCTGATGACATGACCTTTGAGAACCAATGACATAAATGAACATTTAAGTCATCAGCTTCACCATACTCAAGTTTGAATTCATTCCTATCATGGATTTCTAAGTTAAGGTCCAGAAATACTATCTCACTGGCAATTTATTGACCTTGATGATATGACCTTCAGTTTGGGCCATAGGTAAAAAATACATTTAAGTTTGAAATCAATTATCATTTATTTCCAGTTAAGGGACCAGAATTAGAATGAAGACATCACTTCACTGATTTCTAGACCAACACCTCACCTGTTTTTAGGCGGAGACAATTATACATTATAATTAACAATTTTTCTTTACATTTTAACAGATATGATGTACAACTCTACAATACTTTGACATCAATAAGATGGCAATATGACTGTGAACCAGATGAAATCAAAGGATGTATCCTTTACCTTAATCTGATCTGTGCTACATTTACAAACAATTTTGTTAGAATAATATAAAGAACCTTGTAAGTGTGTGTTGTTAAGTTTTGGTATGTATGGCATTTATAATTAAAGTGTCTATGTCCCCCATCCCTCACTGTCTTTGGATGAATGTCCAGACCTCAGGGTGTGACTAACTTTTAAAAAAAACCTAAATAATCTTATACTTCCAAGAGTAATTTTTTTTTTTATTTTGCATGAATATGTGCAAAACTCCTTAAATATAAATTCATGGAGCTCGAATGGGCTTATGTGTTAGAAAGAAAATGAAATATGAATGACACTCAGGTGACTGTCAGGACCCATGGATTTGTTACTGAATAGATTAATAGTTTCCCCTTAACTATAACAGATATTTGCAACAAAAATGACATCAAGCCATTTTCTCTGAATGGAAAACAGGTTTCCAAGTTCTTCATTGCTAACTATTTGTGGGATATGATGGAGGAAGACTGGTGACACCGCCTGATGTTGATATTAGGATCTGGGTCATGTGGGGTTAAAACCAGCCTTAGTTTGGGTGATAAGTTCACAGTGACCTTATCCATTTCATAAACGTGGTTTTCACATACATTTTATGATCCTCTGAAGACAGGGATAATGTGACACTCTGATTCTGTACATAACCTTATTGTATGAATAATGTAAACTGATTAATAGATAATATACCTCTAGATTTCTTTGTGTCTTTATAGGAATAGAGATGCTTTAAGTAATACAGCTTATATAATATTCAAATCATGGCCATGAGGGCTTGAGTGGGGTCACAAAGAGGGGTCATATTTTTTTATAGAAAAATATATCCATAGTACACCAATGCTCCGCCCAAGGTACATTTACATTCGTAATGCAACATGAAAAGAAATGTGTCTTCTTTCTTTGGTCAGAGGTAATGGTAAAATATGAAAGTAAGAATATTTTTTTTATATTTATTGCATATACAAAACCGATAACCTCAGTGCAGTTGTCCTTTATAGCAAGGTATGGAATGTTGATTCATCTCATCTAAAATCTTACTCCTAAAGAAATCTCATTTTTTGAAGTTTATTTTCTCATATTTAGATATTTTTATGTATGATCTCTTATTGAAATTATATTAAGTTATATAAATGAACCAAGACCAAATTAGGGAAAAGAAGTAAAATTCAAGTTGGAAAGCTTTCACATTATTTGCATCCTTTCTGGTCCAGTTTTGCTCAAGATTTCAAATATTTTTTTCCCTAAATATTTCAATGTAAAACTGATTTCTTATTGTGGCCCCACCCCTACCCTCAGGAGCTATGATTTGAACAATTTAGAAAACACTACCCCAGGAAGCTTTAACATACTTATCATCTTTTTGGCCAAGTGGTTCTTGATATTTTTTCATGTCTATCCTATTTATGAATTTTCTTGATTATCTCCCCTCGGAAGGGGGCTTGGCTCTTCATTTGAACAATTCAGATTCTCCTTAATACACAAGTGTGCTTTGTGGGAAGGTCAAGGTCAGAATATTGTGACAGCAATAAATTGCTCTTAACTTTTTATAAAGTTTAAATAAAAAATCTCGAAAGGTGAAGTTTAGGTCACAAGGAAGGTTAAGATCAAAAAATTGTGACATAGTTGAATAGCTCTCACCAATTTGTATAAGTGTATGAAATTTAATGAAAATATTATGAACATTTTTTTTCTAATCTGTGCTTAAAATAATAAATAGTGAGGTCAAGGTCAAATGGCAAAATCAACAGTATGACACAGTTGAATAGTTTTACTGTATTTTGTTTGATGAAAATATGATTTTTTTTTTTTTGAAACTACAATAAATGCAAAATGAGGAATAATGGGGTCAGAAGTCCTAGTAAATGTCAAGGTCAGAAAATTGTGACAGAGCTAAACAGTTCCCACCAATATGTATCGGCCGGTGCAAGAGTTTTAATAAAAATATCTTAAATTGTTACTAAAAAACTGAGCTAAAATAAGGACAGTAAGGTTCAGGTCAAAGGGAAGGTCAAGGTAAAAAATAAAAACAGTTGAAAAGTTCCCACTAATATGTATCAGTGTAGGAGTTTTGATAAAAATGTCTTAAATTACTTTGGAACTGATTGAAAGGAAGAGTGAGGTCAAGGCCACAGAAAGGTCATGCTAAAAATAATGACAGTTGAAAAGTTCCAACCAATGTGTATCAATGTATGATTTTTGTTAAAATTATTTTGAATTTATTTTGATAGAGAATAGTGCAATCAAGGTCACAGGGAAGGTAAAGGTCAGAAAATCATGTCACTTGAAAAGCTTTCACCAAATATGTATCATTGTAAGAATTTTAGTTAATATTTTGAAAAGACAGAGGAATGGAAGATGGACATCACAAACACTATATGCCCAAGCCATATTCATGGTGGGGCATAAAAATCTAAAGAACAGCAAGGCCAAACCTTCTACCCAAGATGTATCAGCCGACAAAGTTTGATAATTCTAGGCCTTATAGTATCAAAGTCATGAGCCGGACATGAAAAAAACTAACAGACAGACGGATGGACTTGAACGCCATAATAGGTCCCTTCTTAAGACGGGCGTATAAAAACAGCAAGTCTAATATGCAAGCATATCCATGTTATGTTGATTTAAGTTTCTTAAATTCATGGTGCTGGTTATGAAGGGCTATGATTTACCTAAGAGGTGCATGTATATTGGAGAGATCTTTAATTTCTAGTAGGCATCCTCTGAATAGTAGATTAATAGATACTCATCCCATAACCCTGAGTGATTCATGGTGGGGTATTAAAAATTGGTCCAAGTTCCATACTAAAATATATAGAGGAACAAATGATGTTTGAAGAATAGCAGCGCTGCATCTGGTCAAACTGATACCTGTACGTGTATATGCAAAATCCCAAGTTAGTTTAGATTCAGATTCTATTAGATCATAGTCCTTTGAGATGGAATGGGATCACAAAGGACCAGAGAGAGAAAATATGCTTCAGACAAGGATTATGTTTTTTTGACCTTGACATCTTCTCAAAAATATTGGTTCAAGGTCACTTTACACCCCCCCCCCCTCCCCTTACTTACAAGCACTTGATGGCTGAAGTATGAGCCAGAATGGTCCAAGGGGAAAGATGCTGAAGACAAGGACTCCACAAAGAATTTGTTTTGACCTCTGACCCAGAGACCTGATTCAAAGCCACTGTGCCCCCTAAACCCAGGGCACTCTGTGGGTGTAGTATGGGGCAGATAGGGCCATCGGGAGAAAAAATATGCTCCCAGACATGGATTTCCTATTGAGATCTGCTATGTTCTTGGACTTTGGTCTAAAAAAATCTGATTCAAAGTCACTGCACTGAATTGGATGATTTTTATTTCAACAACAAATACAATGTAATACAGTGTTTGTACAACTGCTAAGAGATGTCCATTCCTGGAAGGTGAAACTCTGGTACATCAAATATCAGTTCCCTACGTGGGGGTGTTGCATCGATCTTCTCAGCTCTACATTTCATTAAGGAAAAACAGCACATTCTTTATAGATTTTTTGAAGTGAAATATAATAAGCTGTATGCAATGTTTAATGATTTTGTTTCTTAGTGTTACAGCCTTCTGGATGAAAGTCAAAATAATTCAGTAATGTTGTTTCAGTGAAGAATACTTTTATGTCTTGTATAACAAAGCTGAAAGTTTGAACATAATAACCACAAGTACAGTTGACCTTCATTACCTTGAACACCGATATCTTGCATACCAGATGTAGAAGTGATTTGGCAGTCCCAATCGTTATTTCTTCATGTTTTTTTACTCTCGTATCTTGAATCCTTGAATATCTTTAAGTTTAATCATGGACCAATTGAGTTCCAGATAACGAGGTTTGATTGTATGTAAGTAATGTGACTTTTATGAACCTTGTTTCAAAATACGTAGATGTTTGTTACTGTATAGTTCAGTATAACTCGGCATAAATATCATCCATGAAAATTCTGTAGGTTGTTAGTACTAACTGCACTGATTTTAAACTACAAATACATGTATATGTACAGTGTATATTGTAAAATGGTAACAAAGGATATTTGTGGAGTAGTTTGAAGAGTCCAGTGCCAATCCCCATAGGAATGCCCATGATAATGCACTCACTGACCCCTGTGAACAAAAATTCATGCAAGGAAGTACAATGTACATTTATCTGGGACAGCAAAATTCAAATACACTTTTTTTTTATTAACTAGTGCATTCTGAATTGGGAGAAAATACTATGGGACCATTAAAAATTTTGATTTTAGTATATGGTATATTTTTCAAACACTGACTCAAAGGGAAAGATCTAGCAATTGATTAAGGACGGATGTTATGACTTTTATCCATGTTGTAATGTTAGAAAGAAATTTTCCATTAATTCATCATATTACAAAAATATCCATTATTTAAAAAAATTCATTTTGGAAACATTTCCTGTTATGCTACTCAAACTCTTAGCCAAACCCTGTATCAATATTATATCTTTAAAAAAGAAAAATGAATATTAAAATTAAAAGTAATTTTTAGTAGACTAATCTAAAAACTTATCTACATGTATTTTGAGTGTATTCTACATACAAAATTCATTCTATTTCAACTTTATGTTAGGACATTTCAGAAGACTCAAAACTGGTCATTTTTGGTATCATTCTTTGACTCTGCTATATAAAAAAAAAAACCTGCTATGAATCTTAATCTCAATATTCATCATAATTATATGCTGTAGAATTACCATTGATGGTGTCCCTTTGTCCATGGTAAGCTGCCTCAAATAAATGGTCAGCTGTTTTCTCAAACTGAAAATGAATCATTTTTTTATACTGATATTTTATTATATACCCCAGCATGTAATAATTAAGTACAGTTTCTGAAACACAGAGGATCTCAATATGATGATTCATCATTTTGCTTCATGTATGTTATTTTATGATACATACATATATATATATATATATATATATATATATATATATATATATATATATATATATATATATATATATATATATATATATAAACAAAATTTTGGTCAGGAAAAATATCTAAATTTACTGAAGAATTTTGAGCAGAGGAGAAGCTTTACACGTTTTCGCATATCAGCTCACAGACTTAATATTGAAAGGAAAAGATATACACTGTATAGGCATTCCTAGAGAAGAAAGACACTGTACTAGATGTAACAACAAAACAGTTGATGATGAGAAACATTTTCTTCTTTCATGTAATCATGTTAAAGATGAAAGAAATGTCTTGTATGAATTAATAAACAAATCCTGTAAGAATTTTCACAACTTGGACAGTGATAATAAGTTAACTTGGCTTATGACCAATGAGGATGTACAAATACTAATTCAAGTTAGTAAAATGATTCTGAAAGCTGGAATATAAAATATAAGTAAATTTATTAAGGTCTATTCTATGTAAAGTACATAGTTTTTATATGTTACTTGTGTTTTCCCCCTATATCCTTTAAAAGTGAAATGATTGAGTGCCTTGAGTACTTAGGGTACGGGTTTGCCAGTAAAATTGACTGTGCAGAGGCATTGTCCCCTGGTACCCTCTGTATTCAAGCTACCTTTTCTACACTAAACAATAGTATTAATATTACTTATTTACTGTTAAATATAATGGTATATTTGTGTATATATGTGTATTACAATAATGTATGTAGGTATGCATATGTATGTACGACTG